TATATACTTAGTTTATACTTTAATATAGCTGAAATTATTCTATATTATATACATTTATATTAGTACTGCATGAGTTTAACATCTGGTATTATATTTCAAGGATATTCTAGAGAATTAATTTTTCCCCTCAATTGTGTTTTCATTGAAAAAAGCGTCTTGGATAACGACGTCGTTGTTTTTTCGATATCGATTGAGTATAGGTCCACACAAACGCCTTGTTTCCGGCGATTTTGTTCAAGGACTCACATATTCTAACCAATTTACCCCGAATAATGTCACCACTCCCGCGCAGCTAACAAATAGGTAAACATGTGCACGGGGTCATTGTAATATCATATACATATTATATTATAACCCTAAATAACCAAAACCATACGTGTTATTTTCCGGTCCATACGCCGCGAGTGGGCGCCAACAGCAGCAGCTATGGCAGTGACATTAGCAGTGGGAGAAAAAACCAAACATTATAATATAATGTTAAAAACTACATGGTTTTAATTTTTCTTTTGTATTCTTTATATATATATTATATCGGCACTCCCAGCATTTTATAAAATTTAGAAAAAAAACGAACACTAAGCCTGCGGAAAATGACTATTTGCGTACCACGCAGACTAATGTATCCTTAGAATTATTTCGAGCAGCCTGTTACATTTTTAATAAATTATTGCGTAATGTACTAACACACACGTGTTGCTTCAATCGATGTCCGACAAGTGGGTGGGTACGTTGATTGTCTTAGAAGTTCTTAGGAATTGTTTCGTCTGGGCCCGATCCGTAATTAATCTATGCCAATAATGAGACGTATTTTATTTGCTTTCTTTCTTTTTTATTGGCTCGTATTCAACAAAATAAGTAACTCTCAAACCCTTTGCAATATTTTGCATGTTATTGTTGATAAATTCTTATAACATAATTAATTAATAATAATTAATATAAATTCTTTGTCCTGTTGCATATTATAATGTTTGGGATAATATTAATTTATCTTATATATTTCTAATTTTAGATTTTCTCTATATCTAATAGAAAGAATCTTAAATTTCAGAAAATTTATTTTCATGGAAATCGCGTGTAACTACGTGATTAATACTCACTTTCGGGGATATTGTAAGACTCATGAAATGTATAACACGTATTGTGCATAAATAATGTTTGCATTTGTATGATCATTGATCATATTATTAAGTAAATAAAATACGAGGGATTTTCTTTTAATAATATTAAATTTGTGAATCAGAATTGATAATACATTTTGATAAGTTGGTTTTTTTTTCATTTATGTTCGTGATTTATGTAATATTCGTTTGAAAATTATTTCAGGAAAGTACCTATATATTGTAATATCTACCTAGGTATTTGTAAATATATGTGTTAATTATTAATATATATATTTTTAAAGTGTACTAGTGTAGGATTTTAAAGTTTTAACTTGAATATTCTCTGTATTGTTCTATTATTATTTAAGTCCATTGATATAGTATGATCGTTTTTATGTTTATTTATATTTTGATCATTTAAACCTCAAGGTTTCTTTCATATTTTTCTCAAAATTTATTCTATAAGTAATTAAAATATATAGTGTGTTATAAATTATATCTATGTAGGAACCTTGTGTTTATGATAATTATTTTTTTAAATGTTTATTAATATTTAGTTTTTAATCGTATCATTTCTAAATATATATGAAAAAAAAAATTAATTAAAATATTTTTTTTTCAATTATGAATTATATGAAATTTTTTTTTGTTAAACAAATGTTAATTGAGAAGATTAAATTATGTTAAATTTAGTCATGAATAAACGCTGTAATAAATTATATTTTCAATAATATTAAACAAATATTTTCTCTTCTCATTGTTACACGTTTATTTTATATAATAGTTAAATATATTAATAGGTTTAAGCATTATAGTTCTAGAAAAAAGTTATCTAATTAGAAAGTATTTAAAATTAAAAAACTTTAAAAGTTATGATTTTATAATCCTGTTAACAAAAATTTGTATTATTGTATCATTAAGCTTAATTTTTGATAATTTTATCATTGGTAGTTAGATGATTTATTTTTTTTTTGCAAGTTTCATTAAGTATTAGATAAATTGTAAGATTATATTGATTATTAGTGAAATATGAAATAATTTTTTTAAAAGTCTTTAGTATTTTCTTTAATTAAACTGAAAACGACATAAATAAATTTCAAAAATAATTAAGCTACTAGAATGTAAAAAATTATAACAAATTTAATTAATTATAGCACATTATAATTATTTATTATTTATGTGTGGTTGATTTAGTCTTATTTTATAGTTGCAATCTTACATTTCTTATTATTACAATAAAAAAATAACTATTTGTTTAGTATACAATATTTTCAGACAGTTGCACGATTTTCGTTACTTTTTTCTGACTACAATTCATTTATTAAAATAATATAATTAAAAGTAATGAATAACTTATGTTTTTAGAGAATTTTTAAACTTTTATATGTTCTGCTGTTGATGTGTCTGTTGTATTTATTCGTGTATGTTGTTTATTATATTATAGTCTGTATAATATTGTAATCTCTGTATAAAACTAGTTGATGCGAGAAAAATTATTTCAGATTGAATAAACACGAATACAGAAATATCATTAGCGTAGGCGAAAATATTATTCTGTTGTTCATACACGTCTCAAAAAATTAATATGTATTTACAGATTTGTAGATCTGTCTTTTGTAATATACCCCCACGTAAAAAAAACCAGCTCATTTTCGTTTTGTCTTTTTTTGTTTTTTACTCTTCAAGGTTCCCATTATTTTCATATCGTTTCGAATTTATCAAAGATTTTCATGAAAGCCAGTAAATTATCAGTCTTTGAACATCGACTGTTTTAGAATGATATTTAAAATGTATACTTTGTTATCGAACGATGTGCGTTATCTACCGTGCTACAAAATACAACGGATAAAATAAAGCTATTTAATCGCAAAGTTTGTCGTTATAAAACATTTATGCGCTATTGTTCTACGTATACAATGCAATGTTGTACTGCACTTATTATTATAATAACGAAATTCATAATAATATTATACATGTATACAAAAAATGTATTAAAAAAACTTAAACTTTATACTCGATTAAATCGTGATAATAATATTTGCGCATGTTGTGCATACATTAATTAATGACGTGCACAATACTAATGTTTGTCGTAAGCCATATAACAATAATAATATTATATTATTCGTTCTTGTATAATAATCCGATGGCATGTGTTCGTTTACATAGTCTCATCGTATGTCATGTCTAGAGTTACAAACTTAATCGAACCTAGTCGAGGATATTAAAAATAAAGCCCTATTTATGAGATACAGCATTTAATATTATTATTTTATAGCGTTATTGACTACTTTGTCAGTGGTTATATATACTGTAGGTTTCCAAGCACCGAGAAATCACCTCATAAGTATGACGTCAAATCTGTGAAGGGTTTTATGGAAAGAAAAATTATATTTTTTTTCGTTACAATGTTTTGTCATTACCGCAAGTTGTCGAGTTAATTCATTTGAATTGTGTCATTCGCTTTTTTAGACTTGTAATGATTAAAATGATCGAAATTGCCATTTCCTACCGAAATTTTTATAGCGGCGTCATGCCAATGAAGGTGCATAGAAATTATTATTTATTAGTAAGTCTTTGATATAAATTATAAAGGTAATCAAATCTACCTAGTTTTATTCATACAATATAATTTGTTATTCTTTTGGAATGGGTACTTTATTAGTTAATCGCCCAAGTGATGTGTATTTTCTCCGGTGGAGCCTGGCGGGATATTTTAAATTAGTCGTAAATTTATTAATATTTTAATATTAGGTCATTCGTGTGTTGACGAGTGTGCGTTTTTGGTCGTACGCTTAACTTGCACGTTCGTGGCGTTCGGTAATGGTTTTATAAATTATATTATTACAATCTCAGGATGTTTTGCAACGTCTATGTATAATTATATGCTTATTTATTATATATATATTTAAAATTCACCGCAGTGTGATTTGTGTAATAAAATGCATTTCGAGACGGTGGTTAGTTATTTTTATTATACACCTGAATTATAATATTATGTCGTCCATTTATACACAGAGTCATATCCAAATCGTGTTACCTTACGAAGTTTTCTGTGAGCACATTTATTTTACCAGTAAAATGTACTTATAACATAAAGTTTACAGACATTTTTAAAACGTAGTTAATGTCATAAGTACAAACAATTTTTCGAAAAACCTCGATATAACCGTTTAAATTGACTTGCACCTCTTATAGTTTACTTTCAAATAATTTATAATGCATCATAGTTTAATGCACTGTTTATAATATGTACATAGACAAGTGTACTCCTTCGCACGTGTGCGTCTGTGCATCGTTGTACCATACTCTATATTATTATTCCGTTGCTCGAATATGGCGGTTATATTATATTGCATGTTTTTGTGAACTATTTGTCTAAAATTAGATTTTGTACATGTCGTGTAATATAGATTCCAATAGGAACACGCCGTATAGAAAAAAAAAAAAAAAAACACAGGGCCAGTTATTATCGTACGGCGATTAAAAACCGAAATTCGTGTGAAATCGTCCGTTTTATTATATTTAAAACATCGGAGTCGGGCGTAATAATATATTATAATACGAAATCCACGCAAGTCCCGCAAGCACCTAATCTACATTCGTGTAATATTCCGAAGTGGCTCGTCCCCGTCACAAGCGTATGCGTACAGCGCATATTAGAATTCCCACAGCATACGTATTGAGTAAGCGGGATTATATTATAATAACGTACAAGCGGGATCATCCGAAATATATATATATATATACACACACACGTGTATTTGTATTATAATACAACGGGTATAATCCCTCCAGCGTGACATATCGCACGATTCGGACACGGCTCTGTTGAATAAATTCGTAAGTCGTGTCTCATAGGTGTGTGTGTGTGTTTGTTTTTGTTCCGTCATCGTTTAGGTCGCGCAACGGTCATCTGTCGTCGGACGCACATTACACAGACGCCGTACGGTCGGCCGCCTCCGCACACGGCAGTGTACAATAATTATTGTTGAATATCGTACGGTAAAATTTATGTACGACCAACGACGGTACCGGCGGGCTTCTGAACCGTCGTCCAAATCGCACGGCGCTCGCGGCGTGTCGTCGTTCAAACATCTCACGGCATAATCACAACAACCGTCTACTGCTGTTACAAACGCGGAAGTCGAGCGGACGCGCGATAAGCCCGTCTGCAGAATATAATATCGCGACGTCGGCCGCCGCCGGATCGAACGGGCCGAACGCGAAATGATGGACGACGAGATCCAAGAGACGGTCGAGTCGATCTTGGGCAAGGGCGCGGTGGTGGTGGACTGCGAGAAGAAGTCGAGCGTCAAGGAGGAGGAGGTGCTGCTGGTCAACGGGTGTCCGGTGTCGTTGGACGGCGACGACGGGGCGGCCATCAAGCGGGCGCTGCTGCGCGGCGACGTGCCCGACTGCGACCTGCTCAACCAGATACTGGTCCGGGCGGGCATACTGCGGGCGCCCGTCCACCTGGAGACGAACCTCAGCGTCAAGTCGACGGTGGTCACGCGGGAGGAGGTGACCGTGGCCCGCGCCGGCCGGGTGGTGGACGAGCGGTCGCGCGCGAGACCAAAGAGGACAATTACTACACGAGCGCCACGTCCGAAGTGTGGGAACCGGTGACCGTGGTCAACGGGCCACCGGCCGCGGCCGCGAAGAAGCGGACCGTGGCCGACGCCGAAGCGACCGCGAGCCCAAAGGCGGAGTCGACGCTGCCGTCGTCGCCGCCGCCGCCGCCGACCGCCAAGTACAAGGAGACGGTGACCACGAGCAGCAAGCGCACCGAAGACGGTGTCGACTGCGGCGCCGGGCAGCCGCCAGACGATTTTGCGCACACGGCCCACGTAACGGACGGTGATAGCCTGGCTAACGGCATACGCGTCATCAAGTTGAACGGCATACACGACCCGAGAGGCGACTACGGAATGCCCGTCATGGCGGCTGCCAGATCTTCGGACGACGTAAGTGTATTCCATCGTTAAATTATAAGTTATAATGATAATATAATATGAGTAAACTTTTTAGCGTACTACATACTTATAATCACAGATATTATGTATGATACAATACACCATCATGTAGGCTTCCAACTACAGAGTACGAGTGTACTATTTTTTAAATAGTATAGATTGTTTTTTTTAATTTAAAAATAAATAACTGTAGAGATTTAATATTTTCACCAAATACTCGTAGGTATCAACGTTCTCTAGACGTGATATTGTAATTTTCAAAATGTCTGCGCAATTCTTTTATAAAGTACCTATTTATAAATATATACGTTTAATTTTTTTTAAATTTGTGTATGATGTTTTTTAATAAAAAAAAAACTTTAAAGGTATAACACATAAGTAAAGTCATTCTTAGAGCAATTAAAACATATTGAAATTACACAGTCAATTGAGTTAATTTTCATTAAAATCATCTGAATCATTAAAATATACAAATTATTCATGACATTTTTAATTTTAATAGCTAAGGCTTGCAAATTGAGTTCGACATTATTCATAAATTGTTTAAATAGCAACCCAAAAAATCTAAAGTAAAAAAAAAAAAAAATGATTTAAGTTATTTTATTGCTTAAAAAATATTATTCGTAGAGAATTATTGATTTATGATACACAATAATTTTTTAAACATTTGAATTGATTTTTAGGTAACCATTTTATTTATTAACTTATTTATATTTTATACTGTTCAATGATACCTAGGTACTTCAATTAATAAATAATAATATAATTATTGTAAATTAATTTATTTTGATAACAAAATTAATAATATTTTATCTTATTTACAGTGGAGAATGTTGTATATTATAATTATACCTAATTTTTATTTATACATTTTCTGCTCTTAGTTTTCTTAGTAATAAATTATGAATTACATTTTATTGCTAAGCATTATTATATAGGTACATATTATACCAAAATGTATATGTTTCAGTATATCCCGATAAACAAAGTTACTATTATATAAGAAATTATACAATCTGTAATTTGAGTTTTTTTAGGACACTATGAGTATAATATTTAAGAATATTACTTTCAAAAACTTCTTAGTACCGAAACCTATCTTAGTTTGTGTTATACGTATACTGAGAAAGCCCGTAAAAATTGAAGAATATAATATACCGACGGCTCGTATATAATTTATATACATATATGTATAATATGGTGTGTACATATACTATCTGATAGCATTTAGAAAGACAAATAAATTCTTCATATCGCAAATTTAGCGTATAGTCTTCGAGCGTATTATTATATATACAAATGGAGACGGTTTTATGTGTACCTCGTTGTTTGTTTTTTTATTCATGTACTCAGGGCTGGGGAAACAATAATTGAGTATTGCAGTCATCGAAAATATCGCAATACAATTATAAAGGTCAATAGGAATTTGCAAATTTTATGTTTAGCCTGCCTACACTTTTTATTAAAAACAACATTGTATGTAATGTATATATTTCTCAGCGTTATATTCAGTTTATTGTTTAATATATTGTGTTTGGTTGTATGATAATTAATATTATACGCATTATTATAATATACAAAACGTATATACACTTATCTATATAGCTATATCTATACATATTATTATAATATTTCTTTGTAAAGTCGGGTTGATGTGTAACGGAAATTATTGTTTTATCCACTTTCTATGTAGGTGCATATTATTTTATGTATACATTGTAATATTATTTTCATACACGCGCATTAAACTTGTATTTATAATATAACATACACGTAGTATGCGATGCTTTTCTCTTAAATTTTAGACCCCATTATAATATTATATTTATATAAATATGTATATGGGTATAGGTACCTATAAGAAGGAGTGTTTGTAATGTCGTAATGCGTTTATTTTCGTGCAGATGCATCTACGAACACATATATTCATGCGATAATACTATATCCGGTCTCTATTATGTATATATACTTCTCCCTGTTCGTATGGTTAAATTTGTTAGTGTGATTTTATAAAAATATAAATGCATTTAATTTACAATAATAAAATACAATATTACACTAAATTTGTCTTAACTGTTGTAAGTATCAATTTTTATTATATATATACCAACTCACCGAATTGCGTCTGCAATATATTATAATATATTATACTATATAACCAACGGGCAACGGTTATAATAAAACAGCTGATAAGCTTATTTCAAAAATGTTTTTAAATTTTGAGTTAAGTGATCTTAAAATGAGCTCTTTGCTTAACTTTACCTAACCTTTTGGAACAGTAAAAATGCTTCAATCTTGAACTTGAGTGTATGTAGTTAGTACTTTAATAGAAAAATTTTTGAGTTTAAAATTAAAGGAAATTAAGAGATTTGTTGTCGTTTTAAAGTCAATTTTATCATTTGCATGACTTTAGTCGAAACTCGATTTATTCATATTTATTAATTGGACATTTAAACCCATATAATATATACTTTAGTACTTAACACACCGCCACGTATTTTAATTTTTTTTTTTCTAGACGTATAGTTACTATAAATCAATTGTTTTTTGCCTTTTTCATTAAATATGAAAGATACGTCATTTTCCTCATTGTAACTTCGTATATATTTTTTTTTTTTTTATCATATGGCGCTTATGTCCGGGAGTAGGCCTGAAGGCCTATAGTTCGGACGCCTATTCGGCAGAATTTTTAGTGGGCACCCGTAGGTTTCTGCCATGCCCGACTTCGTATATGATTAGTACCTACAGACACACGAATATCTCAAATAATACTACGAAACTGTTAGGATTAATTATCCAATATGACAATGTATATTATTGTGTATAGTTATAATTATTATCAAACTAACATAAAGTTTTCTGTATTATTTTTATCAGTATTAAAAAATTGTAAATATTTTGTGTGTCGAAAAATCGAATTTAGATGTCAGCATTACCATCAACTGATAAGTTATTATTTTTATAAACAATAAAGAATAAGCACCATTTAAAATGATTGAAACAAATATTATTACATCTACTTTGCAATATTATATTCCAAAAACCACAGATAAACACACTAAACGAACCGGAAAACTATTACTCTGTTGTATATTTGGTTTCGAATGTATTTCCATGGTTAAATGTTGTGTATATTAAGTCGTTTTAATTGATGAGTTTTTAACTAAAATTAAAATAAGATTATTTTTTTAAAACGTTTATAAAAAATATATATATATATTTTAATTTTGCACAAATGTACAAGAAACGTATTTACATTATATGGGGTATAAACTTGTTAACATACGTAAAATATGTTGTACCATCTTACAGAATATAGGTATGCATGTAAATATGTACCTCGTATTAAAATAAAAATATCGTTTATTGGTCAATTTAAAATCGAACTGTATTTATTATTTTAATATGATTTTTTTGGGATAGTTTTTAGAAATTAACTGTGATCAAATTTTTGTTCAACTAGCTATAAATAATATTTAATAAGTTGCTTATGAAAAAAGAAAATTATGGGTGTTTTTAAATTTATTTCATCGAATAAAGCCATTTATAACTTTTTTGAACTAGTTTTATTTTTTATAATCTATAGTTAGAGCTGTGCCGTTAAGATTTGGCACCCAGGACAAAATTAAAAATATTCACCCCCTATTTTATTTATCATTATGCATTTCATTTCTATTTAATTCCTACTTTATTGTACTGTATTTTTTTTTTTTTTTACAACGTATTTTGAACATTAATTCGAAAAAAAACTAAAGCTGGTTACAATAGTAATTATTAAATAAAACATTTAGGTATAACATAATTAAAAAATAATACAAATCGCAAATTATATTATATTATACATGTTATATTTACAAACATATCATAAGACTCACAAGAGCGTATCATATACGTATCACATAGGTACTTAATTTAAAACTGTAAATTTTCCTGAGCTTTTTAGAACAAAATCTTCAATGACATCTTCAAAGTCGATGTTTTTTGTTATTTTATTCTCAATTGACAATATTGCTGAATTAGTTAATCTTTCTTGCGACATGGTTGATCGTAAATACGTCTTAATTAATTTCAATTTACTAAAAGAGCATTCCGAGGAAACGATGATAATAGACATGGTAAGAAACAATCTACGAGTATATGCAGTTATTAAGTTTGGACAAGTTGAATCAAGTTCATATTTTTAATTGCATTTAAAATATTTAAGGCAGTTGTATTTAAGTCTGGTAGAATTGCTTTTGCTTGATATTTAAAAAATTTGATTTTGTTAATTATTTTCTGGTCAATATTTTCGTTGTATTTGATTGCTAAATCGGCTGTACATTTTTTCAATGTTTCAATTGGTGTTACAGATAGTGAATGACCAGAAAAAATTGAAAATTATCAGCAATATTTGAAAATTGTTTACACCTCCATTTTATTTGAGTCATCATATTATGAAGAACTTTGTATTATTCCAATATTAAAAATTGATCTGTAGAAATATCTTCACCCGATGATTTTCTCCGCTCATAATTTTCCTTTTAATTTTTAATTCAGATTTTATTCCAACTTTATCACAAATACTAATAGTTTTAGTTTTAATTTGTTCATTTCCACTATCACGCATTTCTGAAAGAGAAACATTTAATGAATTTATTATTTTTTAAGCCTGATCTATTAAAATATTTGAGCTTTTTAATATTTTATTT